GTGTGGTTTGTGGGCAACTCTTGGTATCCTGGTAAGCTTACAAACTTAGTGTGTGAGCCTGATTTTGCTCTATGGCTTTAATTAAAGGTAACTTTGGTTTCCAAATTTCACAGTTTTAAGATGCTTCTGCTAAATTTATAGCAGTACTTCAGTGTTTTCTATAGATCAAATTGAGACATGTTGCTATTTTTGCTAATCGTTCAATTTTTAAAAATCTGTGAGATTATTTCAAGATTGTCAAAAAATTGCGAAAAGTGAATAAAAACTTTTCTCATTCAACTTTATTCAGACTAGATGAGACACTGTTCTGGCTGTGGGGACATTCTGAAGGCAGAATGCTTGCCTTACAAATGCAGTGTCCTAGGACCCATACCTAGCACGGTTTACACTATATGCTACAAAGAAGAACTTACAAAATAATTTCCTCCCCAAACCAGCATTACACCATATAAACCCAGTTGAATTGTCAAATCCAGATTATTATATCCATGTAGTGACATTATCTCATGTCTTAGCAACTTTCACATTTTCCAATAATCACAATGCTACCTTTTGTGGCAAAGGAAAAGAAAGCATTCTGGTGGAAATCTAAGCCAGGATTAAATGTAGTATTTAGCAACCTTCTTTCTTTAGAATATGTTTACATCCGAATTTTATTTACTGGAAAACAGATTCCATAAGATAAGACAAACTACTGCCCAGAAGATATACAAAATGAGAACAACATCCTCAGATGTTTTGGAGCTGGACATCAAATAATAATTTCTGTAATATGCAAAGAAAGCTCACAGATAATTCAGTAGACAAGAGGCTAAGAATTAAATCAAAGAAGATTTAAAACAATGTTCAGGTTTATAGAAAGAAAAATAATAAAAAAATGACCAGTTTTTGTGAAATGGGAAAACTAAAATAAAACTGAAAATGAGATATCTGAATGAAATAATCTTAAAAGTGTCGATACAGACCATGTACACACACTTGAGCCTGATGCTCCTGGATTAGTGGTGTCACGGTTTAGAAAACAGTATGTCAATGCCTCTTAAGAACAGCAGCAAAGCCAGAATTGGAACTTTCCCTTGTGTGGTTTCATCTATTAACACGCCTCTTCTCACCACGGGGGTGATGCAGCTCTTAGCTGCTCAATGGGAAGTACTTGGGTTATTAGGATGTGCATACTCCAGGGGACCAGATGATCACATACAAAACTGTTTTTTTTTTCTTTCCACAAACAAAAGTTTTCTAGGAAAAGTTATTATAAATTAAATATGTTAGCAATATAACTTCTCTGGAGAAAGGAAGAAGCCAGAAATATTTTTCTTGAAGAAATAAATATATACCAGAAACATGATTTTACACAGTTAAAGTATTTTGATGCACCTTCTAGAAAGTGGATGTTACTGGACTCAGGAAGATTGATATAGGAGTAAAATGAACCGAGTGGGCCCCAGGGCTAAGGTGACAGGTTTTAATTACTTTTTAATGTCAAGAGTATATTAACTGTACATACTAAGGGATCACAATGTGGTGTTTTCATATACGTGCATTATGTGCCTGTGTCATATTCATCCCTTCAGCATCTCATCGATGTTCCCATTTCCTCCACACTGGATCTTTTCCTCCTCTCAGAAATTCATATTTTACTCCGGTTCACATAATAGAAAAGGTAATATTTGCCTTTCTGAGGCTAATTTTCTTAAGGTGACCTCCATTTCCATAATTTTTAGAACATTTTCAGGCCAATGGTGACATCTGGAGGATTGCAGTGTCTTCATATGAGAACAGCAGCCTGGAGCTGGAAAGCTGCTCAGAGCTTCAAAGCATGGCGTGATCATCTAGAAGATCCAGGGTTTATTTTCAGCATTCAATAGTTGCTCAAAATTATGAGTAACTTCACTCCTAAGGGGTCAACACCCTTTTCTGGCCTTTTCGGGTATTTTATCCATGTCTTAAGACATACATGCAGGAAAAATACCCATACATGTAAAATAAAAATGAAGATGTACACACACACACACACACACACACACACACGCACACGCACACTTTCCTGAACCATCGTGTTTTCTCTCCTCCTTATAATTTATCATCTTCATTTACATATTGTTTAATTTCATGTTAAAATTTTGTATGTGATAAACCTATATATTTTCATAGATAGATTAATTTGAAAAATTATACATTATTGGATAGTAAAGTCCGTAAGGAAAATGCTATGATCAAGTGGCTAGTGAGTACTCCACACTGAAAAAGCCAGCTAATGGAAGCTCAATGTTTCCATACTATTGTCTTAGCATCCTACAACAGATAAAGAGATTATGCATATTTAGGGGTAAAAGGGACAACCATGATTCATGCCACACTTGAAGATAGCTATCTTTTACCACAGCAGGGTAAAACAGGCTGGAACTCAACTTCCTATTGCTAATAACACCAAAGGGACAAAATGTGGGAAAGCATAATATAAGTATACTTAACTCTCCTTAGCACTGGATATTTGGGGTAGGTTGTAAAGATGATCACAATAGAAGAGAATGAGTAAGAGCTGGCATATATGCACAGCAGGATAAGGGTAATTTGTGTGGCTTTGTCCTCAGAGGACTTTCAGAAAATACTGAGTACTGTAGATATACTTTACTTTTCTCTTCCATCTGTAGAGGATATACACCATGAAGACACTTGAGCAGGACATGAGTCCCAGACACAGTCCATAAGAAAGGCACAACATATTGGCTGCAGTTGCTACATTGCCCAAAGCAAGCAACGAGCAATACCAATAACTCAACCTGCTAAGTCATATTTTTGTTGTACTTGGGGCCTGACACAAGAAACCCTGACATCTTGCTAGAGTCAAGATGTTTAGAAGCAAGTGCGCAAGCCACCTCTGTGACTAAGAGGGACCAGTGTACTTGGTGGCTCTGTGCTGAAGCTTCATTCACCTGGTGTTGCTGGGGCTGACTGTGATTTCTTGGAAGCTAGTCAGTATACACATGGCATGCATGGACATCACCCTTGTTATTCAGCATCAATTTACATCCAATAGAGCCCAGGAAATTCTTAAATCCAAAATCTAACCTTGTCTGTGGAATGCCTCTAGAGACGATAGACAGGTAATTGGCAAAAGTCATTTGCTTTATAATCAGGTCTTTGGGCATTAAGTGCTTCCCAGTAAATAGGAAAAGGACATACAACAGTATTGAGGAATTGCTAAGCATTTCCATTGAAATCTGAGGGGAATGGAAAATCCCCATTGCCAAGTTTGTAGTAACCACTTCTATTCCTATTTGAAAATTAAATTAATAGGGTCATGAGATCATAGAAATACATTATGAGTGTGCATTATTTAAAGAAGTTAGTTTAAATAAAAGTCACTACTTCATTGTATTTATGTCACTCTCTCAGTGAAGAAATGTCTAAAATTTTGTTCTTTATAGAAGTAGATGTTCTCTGTTATTTAAATGGAAAGTAACAGATATGTTTCCTAAAGATTAGTATTTTCACTAGATGCATTGGCATAAGCCTTAATGCTAGCACACAAGAGGCAGAGGCAGAGACAGACAGACCAATGAATTTGAGGATAACCTGGACTACCAAGTCACTTATAGAAAAGCCAGGCTACATGCAGAGAAACCCTATCTTAAAAAAAAATAAAAGTTTTCATTAGTTTTGACTAAATACTAATCATTTTTTTCAAAGAGAGACTTTTTAAAACATGCCATTATTTCATAAATTAACATAACCAAAATTCAAAATCCATCAAAAGAAACAACAGAAAATATTTGATAATCATATTTACAACGAGTGGCTAAACATTCACATTTTATAAAGATTAATTGCATCTAAGACTTATTTTGTTTTTAATTATTTTGCTGGAGGAGGTTACATGTAAATATGAGGATCAACAGAGACCATAGGCATGAGATCTCCTACAGTTGAATTTATAGACATTTGTGAGCCACTGGCAGGAGCTAGGCATTAAACTCAGATCCAACGTAAGAGCACTATGTACTCTTATCCTCTGACATGACTCTGCCATAAAGAAAATATTTAAAACTAAATTTGAAAAAAAATCCTAAAAACTCCTATCCTCTGACACATCTCTGTGATATAGAAAATATTTAAAACTAAATTTGAAAAAAAAAATCCTAAAAACTCTTATCCTCTGACACATCTCTGTGATATAGAAAATATTTAAAACTAAATTTGAAAAAAAAATCTAAAACATAAAACAAATAAAGAATGAATTCACACTTGGATAAATTTCCTACTAACAAACTCAGAAATGTCCAAACTTTATGCAAAATGAAACACATCCTCCAAAATGAAGGAAATACAATAAGGAATGCAAGTCAAGCTGGCAAGGTGACATCACATTCTGTGTAGATCAGGTACTAGTGAAAACAAATTAGCATAAATAAAAGCAGGAGATCTGATGGACCCACAGACACATAAGGGCTCCTTCAAAGATGAAGTGCAAATATATATACTCAAGCACACACATATAAAATAAAAATTTTTGAAAGGCAGATTCAGGAGCAGAGACATTTGTTTGATCTCAGCTTCCTAAGAACTGTGGAGAATGAAGTGTATGCTCTTCAGGGTCCCCTTGCCTGGAGAACAAATTGTTAAACAAGAAAGACTCTGTCTCAAATAAGGTGGAAGGTAAGGCACAATAGTCCCACACACTGGCACCCGGATACACAAACACACAAGAAACAAAACACACAGGAGAAACAAAACCATCAACATTTATTTACTACTGGGAAATCAGATAACAGCCAGTATTTAGGCACTTGAAAACCTTTGGTGAACAAACTGATAAAAACCTCATTTTTACCTTCACATGCCAATGGCATGGAACAACACATGGAAGAAACAATCTGAGTGTTAAATGAAACAACTTCACTGGCTAACTCCTACTGAAAAGCTACAATGCTTCTTCATGTGCACATGAGACACTGAGGCTGAAACCCTGCTAGCCTCTGGTGAGGAAGGCCCACAGTTCATTCTGATTTGTGGAACTTCCTCAGGTGACAGTGGTATGTGGATGACTGGCGGAAGGTACTATTACACAGGGAGCAGGAGTAAGGCTTCTCTCCTGTGTGAATTCTCTCATGAGCCTGCAGATTGGTCTCGTATCTGAAGGCCCTTCCACATATACCGCATATGAAAGGCTTCTCTGCCTTGTGTATGATCTCATGAACTCGAAGTTCTGATTCATGGTAAAAGCCTATCTGGCACTCCTTACAGAAAAATGGCCTCTCCTTCCTGTGTGTTTTCTGGTGGATGGAGAGGTTGCGAGGATATTTGAAGGTTCGGGGACATTCCCCACATTTGTATGGTTTGGGGTCTCTCTGGAGTCTCTCTTGGTAACCCTCAAAGGTGGAATTTGCCTCATGATGCTGGAAAAGAGGGACAGGCTTAGGAGTAGGCTGCTCTCGCCTGGAGAGGAAGCCTGGTACCTCCATAGAGACAACTTCAGAAGAAGCTGCCCACAGGGACTCTTCTAGGGACCTGGAGGTACCGCACATTGCTATTCTTAAATCCTGAGGCACTTCATAAGAAACACTTTCCACATCAGGCTCAGAATATTGCTCTCTTTGGATAATGAAAATGGAACCTCCCTCATTTGTGAGACTAATAATATCACCACTTATATCAGTAGTATTGTGGCCATCCCCAGTGTCCTCAGCCTGCTCTGTCAGGGAAAGAAACACTGGTTGTACCTCCATAAGGACATCTTCAGAAGAAGATACCCTCAGGGACATTTCCTGGGATCTGGAGGTGCCCTGACTTGCTCTTCTGACAACCTGTGGGATTCTATAAGAAACATCCCCCTCTTCAAGTTCCGTATGCTGCACTCTCTGGAATGTGAGAAGGGAATCCCTCGGGGTTCTACTACTATCAACACTGCCATTTCCCACACTAGCATTCCATGGAGTTTGGCAGCCATCTTCTGTATTTTCAGGTCCTGTGAAAATAAGACAGTTGGTGAAACTGTGCGCAAGCAGGGATCCACACAACATCACAACATGCCTCTCCTGTCCAGCCTCTTGACTCACCTGTTACCAAGAACATATCTTTGGGAATCTCCAAGAGTGCCCTTGCCTTCTCTCGTGTTGGAGTGGTTGCTGCTTTCTGTTGCTCCAAATGTGTGATGACTTCTTTTAAGGGCATGTTCTCAGAAAAGAGGGCTTCCTGCCCATGCATGGCAACATGAACCTGTAAACAAAGCCAAGTGACCATTAGCCTCTGTTCAGTGATGGACCAGCTTGACTCTATCTTAAGGTTAGAAACCTTATGACAAGGTCAAAATAGAATCATTGCTGTTTTTTAGTAAAACTTGAATTTGACCATGTCTTGACCCATTTTCTGAAATTTGGCATGTTCTGAAGCCTATACTCCATGTCCTGACCTCTACCCTGATAAGTTTGAAAATGTTCAGCCAAATTCCTACATAAACAAAACGGCCTCCAAATCTTGGATTCCCGCTAGTCCTGCAGTTTTTAAAGCTATATAAACCCTATTGTCTGTGGGTTCACTGCTATTTTTCTCAAAGCTAACTTTTGAGAAACAGCCTTTTCTGACGTAAAATAGAGCTTGCTTAATTCAAGGAAAAAATTGTGTGATTGTATTTACTCTTGTACATGTCATAAACTTAACTATAGATGACTGTAATTTTCAGTCTGGAATTCTCAGAAGATATATATATATATATATACACACACACATACACACACATACTCTGCAGTAGATACTACTTTGGTGTCTTGGCCTCAGACAAACAATTGTTACTTTCTATCTTGGAACCCCATGGCCTTCCACTTTCATTCTCAAGTTCATCCTAACTTCCACCCTGATAAGATAAATTTTGAAAGGTTCAACTGAATTCCTACATAAACATAAACAAAAAGCACCCAAATCTTAGAAACCCTCTGGTCTTGCCAAACTTTAAACTATATAAACCCCACTGTCTCTTTCTTCAGTTATTTCGCAAAGCCCATTTAAGAGAGATGGCACTGTGTGAGAGAAAACAAAGCTTGCTTAATTCAACCAACAATTTAGGTGATGGTCTTTACTCTCAGTCATTCAGTAGGCTTAACTACCGGTGATTATTATTTTCTCCCTGGAATCCTCAGGCAACTGTTACTTTCTGTCTTGGAACTTTGTGATGCTCCATAATCCTTCTGAAGTAGCTAAAGCTTTCCCATCTCCAACCTCTAGCCATTAGTCTTTAAGTGGTCCCTCCCTATCAGTCAACTTCACTTTTCTGTGTGAGTGGGCTTTATTTCTAATACTTACATATTTTTTGTCCCTCCCATGACACCAATGATCTGTGACCAAAGATGTCCTTAACAATAAAGCTTTAATTTGGGGAAGGGGGAGTTTTGTAATTTATTACTGAGCCCTTAACAAAACTCACACCTGTCTGAATCAAGTCCAACACCTTCATGTCCGAATAGGATGCTCACTGCCTCTGCTCTTAGGAACATGACAGGAGATTATGGCAGCAGTTTGCTTGGAATTTAGTTTCAACAGTGAAATTCTAATTGAAAACAAAGCCCAAGTGTGAACAAGGAATAAAACAAACTGAAATGAAAACTCAAACAAACAGTGGGGAGAGGACAGTTCCCACACATAGAAGAGGGATAATGTTTTAGACATGAGTTCTTGGCCAGCCTGGGCTACACTATGAAACCATACTTCAAATGGGAAAAACAAAACCCTACAGACAAACTGAAATCAAAACTAAACTACATAAAACAAAAAGAAGTGATTTCCATAACAATGATATCTTACACTGTATGGGGCTTTATCTCTGATGTGTATATATATTTTTGTCCCACCCACGGAATACTAGCCCTAGACAAGTATCCTTGATCACAGATGTCCTTAACAAGAAAACTTTAATCTGAAACCCCTTGGATCCCCAAATTAAAACTGAAACATGTCTCCACCATGGTAATGTCTGTCACTGACTGAGAATTATGCAACTCAAGACCCTGGAAGAGGATTCAATGTATTTACATTTACATTAAAACTTTCAAAGTTTGATAATTTGCACTGAAGCACCAGTGTTCATCAAGGCATTTCTTATGACAGTGTCACTATTGTGTATGGATGTGAGAGCAATATTTCAACATCAGAATCCTTACTCTGCTATTGTACAACCTCAGTTTTCTAGACAGGGTATCATACTCACATGTATTAGCCAATTTGGAAAGCCAGATAGTCATTTCAATCCCCAGATTCTGCCTTTTATATACAGGGATTGATAGACCAAATCTTTTGGGTTCAGACTCCATCTTAGAGAAGCTGACCTAAGGTTGTACTCAAGTTAAAAAAACAGGCTTGTACCTAGCACCAGTTTCCAGGTTACCCCTCAACAAAACCTGCATCTAGCATGTTTCCAGGCTATTCTCCAACAAATCTGCAACCCCAAGTTACAAGCCTGCCCTAACACTTTACTTCCTAACATCTATCAATCGGGAGGAAAACAGAAGTTAAGCTTATGGTTTAGCTCTCAGCACCAGCTAATTACATTAAAGGCCATAATGGCCTCCCAGTCAGATGTACACCAGGCTAGATAGATATCCCTTTCTTGCCTCTATAAATGCTTGCCAAAACTAGGCTCAGGGCTCCAAATTCCTCCTGTGTCCCAAGCTAAAGCTTGAATAAAGAGACCCTAATGCAACTGCATTGGATTCAGCTCTTTGGTGTTCTTTTGGGATTCACCAATTTTTCATGGCCCAACAGGATCAGAGGCTAGTGCTGAGAGCCGATGGTTAGATGTGAGCGGAGGTTTGAACACATTTCTCATGATTACAATATCAGTATATCCCTGACTGAGCCATCCTCCAGACAGAAGGCATTTCCTCTACCACCCTTAAATTCTTGCCCAAATGGCAAGTCCCCAGTCTCCCTGAAACCATGCAAATATACGACATTTAATTAGAAACATCAATCCTTTGATGGGATCCTCTATGATTTATTCATGCTAATTTACAGTACTGCATATTCTAGCATGTAATGGTATGGTCTTGAGGGGGGAAAATAATCTCCCTAATAACAAAAACTACAAGTTTTTAGTACTTTTTCCCAATTACAAATGACTGTCTTTCCTTCCCATATAGCCACTTCTTACCCCAGGAACTCACCATGGCAGGAGGTTTCAAGCACTCATCAGTCAGACTCTCCATGAATCTCCTCATGTTTCTGCCACTGGATTTCCACTTCTCTGTCAAGGCAAACTTGTCCTTGCAGTGCCCAGTGAGGAGAAACTGCTCCAAGACCAGTTGAGAAATCATCTGCTCCTTGCTCTGCTTTTCAGGCTGCAACCAGGAGGTAAACATCTCCCAGAGTGTTTGCAGCTCCTGCTTTGCCAAGGAGCCATTGTTACTTGGGGAAACACTGAACTGAGCACCTGGTGAGTGAGAGATGTCTTCTCCCCAGTGCACAGCAGAAGCCTGGGTTGGAATGAACTCTGCATTGTCTAATTCAAAATCATTTGAAGATGACTTGCGCACAAAGTTTTCTCTGCACCGTGAAGCCATTGTGATGAGAATCCTCAGAAAAAAAAAAATCAACTATGGCAATTTGGTATTTGTCTTCTTACTTGAGGCCCTATTTCAACAATTGGTGAATGTGTAAAAGCTATAGAGAAAAAAGAAAAGAGACACATAATTAAAGGAAAAGGTCAGCTGAGCTTTCTGGATTTCTGTCACAGTGCGTTTAATAGTTACTTGACAACTCCCTTACTACATCAGCAAAAAGAACCAAGATAAAAAAACAAAAAAATATTGGAAAGATTCCTTCCCTGATGATTGAATCATGGACAGAATCTTAATTCTGCATCTCTAATGCAACGTTTGATGCTTCCCTGTGAGGAGAACACATCCTAAGCAAGCATAGTATGTCACTGTGGTCAAAGGAGACACTATCCCACTGGATGGAAATATCAAGATTGGCATTTATCTCCCATCCTTCTGATCCTGTGCTCTCACATATGGCTCACTCCAAAATTGTTACTTTTTTTTTTTGTCATTTCCAGAGAGTTTTGGATCCCAGATGCTTCAGTGAACAAGGTCAAACCTTTGGAAGTGGAATGAGACAAAGGGCTAGACACCCTTCTGAATGTCTCTGAATCACAACAAAGAAAAGGCAGAGGCTGAACAGGGCTCACCTCTGTAAGCAGACAGGGGTTTTATTTTTATTTGTAGGAAATATATGATGTTTGATAAACGTTGTCTGGATGGAATTAAAGTGCTGTGGCCAAAAATCAACTATTTGTTCTCTCTTCTTTTTCTTTCCTTTTCCTTTTCCGTGTGTGTGTGTGTGTGTGTGCGGGCGCGTGCGCGTGTGCGCGTGTGTTTGTGTTTGCTGTTTTCTCAAAAGGGTGTCTTTTAGACTTTCTGCTCACAAACTCCCTAAGCAGTTGAAAATGATCTTGTACTCCAATCTTATGGCTTTTACCGTCCTAGTGCTGGGATTCCCTCAGAAGAATCATTTTCTTTTAGATTTTTCTGAGCAAGTATCTCACTAGAGCTGCCTGTCTTGGAACTCTCCATGTAGACCAATATGTCGTGGAGGGACTCACAGACATCTGCCTGTTTCTGTTTCCTCTATGCTGGGATTAAAGGCTTGGGCCATCCTCTCCAGGCATTCTAATTGTTAGGTCCTGTGTCCTAAAATTCAGGAGCTGAGGGAGTAACCTCAAAAACCTTATACTGTGGCCTTATTTCAAAAGAGTTCTGAACCTCTTCACAAAAGTCAGAT